AGCACAATTAATTATATAAGTTCGCCACATCGTACACCGTCTGAAACGGACATAAAAATGAAACGTCTAATGAAACGCGCGAGTCGATTGCATAGGGGCATTCGGAAATTAATTTGGACACACTACAAGTTGTACTATACAGATTCATGAGCTATTTACACACGCAATAAAATGAAATAAAATAAATTAAAGATGAAACCTGAAACTTTTCTTGGAAGGCAAGTTCATTGGAAGACAAGTCTTTACCCGCTGCGAATTTGTTCGATTATTGAATGTGAAAGAAATATATAGATTGTAGGCCTTAACAGAGGACAAGATTCCGTCAGGGACAGTGCGTTGAAATAGTGACATATAGAAAAAAATAAAATAACGACATTTGACGCGAAGTCTGTCAAAGTTGTGACAGGTAGAACCCGCTGTGAAAACAACAACGAAAATTCCGAAAGCGACATGGCAACGTTTTCAAGCGGCAAAATTACTTGTTTTGAAAATCAAACCAGCGATATTAATGCATACCCACCCCCAACAAGGCCCTTTTAGTTATCTTGGACGTCCCTTTTATGGTATCCTTTCTCTCAACAAAACTTGTTTGCTTATAGTCAAATACATGCATCGTAACTTATAAACTGTAACTTATACATGTTTTATACGTCGAATTTTGGTCGCGTCGAAGCAATTTAGACAATAGATAATGAGATGATAAACCTCATTAAGCTTCATTATCTTTTGTTTGAATTGCATTCAGGACGCAACCGAAGTTCAACGTATATATAAAACAGGCCTAATAGTAATAGATGAATATACCAGTTTTCTACACAAACGCCCGTATTCCAAAAGCTCACTCACACTCACACTCAATGAGTGGAAGTTCAATCTGAGCTTCTCTTGAGTGTCATTGCTGTTTTTGAATAGCTGGAGGGCTAGTGTCATACCTTACTCGGTGACTACTCGCCCTCTAGCTATTCAAAAACAGCATTGACACTCAACTAAGAAGCTTAGATTGAACCATAGACAATCCAGAAGACATTCCAGAAGACATAGCCCAGAAGACATGACTTCTGGATTGTCTATGATTGAACCTCCACTCATTGAGTGTGAGTGAGTGAGCTTTTAGAATACGGGCGAAAGACTTACCTGGGGTCACGGACCGCTGCGTGACCTCTGCTTGCTGAGACTCAGCCATATTTCGCCTTTAGTACTTTACTCCTGGCTTCACTGTAAATCTAAGGCAGCGAGATATGTTATATCATGTCGACAATGGGTTCACATGTGAAGAACAGTATAGAGTTCAGATATAGAAATCACACCAAAACCTAAATAGTATACTACTTACTATTATACTTACCTAGCTAAAATGCTTAGTGAGTGACTGACCAATTTTTTAGTTTTGCAGTCTACGTTGTTGATATATAACGACCAGTGATTTAATACCTGTCAAGAAAGCTTGTGCCTGTGACTAAGACAAATATAGCCAATATATGATTACATGTAAATGACACATATGGTTATGGTAAGTATCAAAATGGAACGTCCAAGATCGTAAGAGCTCACGAAGTTCCGAAGCTCACTACGAGCACACGACAAAATTCAAGATGGGGGTTACCAAGGAGTAAGAATTATACTGACTTTTTCAATCCTTATTAGTCAGACTTTGTAAGCAGGTCTCAGTCGGTGATTTTCTAAATACAAACAACTATTTGTCATTATATCACATTTGTGTCGGTTTTCTTTGATCGTCCGAGGTTTATAACTAGCTTATATACCTTGAATAAATGATTAGATTAAACTTGTAGACAAAACGCGAGAATTTTTCATTAAAAATTTTTGAAAATGACAAAATATGTTAGAAAACCTCCACAAATGTGGTATAAGTTAGTTATATAAACCTCGAAAGTCGGTTTATAACTTATATATTGCCCTCGGACGCTACGCGTCCTCGGGGGCAATATATCAGTTATAAACCTCCTACTCGGTTTATAACTCTAACTTATTTATGGCGGGGGTGGCACCGAAGAGAAATTTTCTTGATATAAATTTTGCTGATCCAACCATTAAAAAGTCAAAATATTTTTTTACCCAACCTCAAATATCAATTAAACTTATAAATGCCCACCCCTGGCCAAAAAATTTGCAAAAGGATAGCGTTCAGTTGTCACATATCCTTTACACTTCTTTGACATGAGTTTGATAACTGCTTGTGCAATTTTCTGCAGTCTAAAGTTTCATGTTGTCTGCACATGTACTTTCTTTGGAGACACCATTTGCCTCCTGACAAGTCGGAAAGTGATCAAGATAGTGACTCTGATTGATTTACATATTGTATTGACATATGACTGTCGACATTGCTTTTTAGTCTTCAACATTTGAGTGAGCCATGCTCTGGAAATAACAATAAATTTTTATTACCTAACCCTTGAGTTGTTTTGTTTTTCATTTACCCAACCTTTTACTCACTCAAAATTTTGTTTACCCAACCCTTTTCTCTTTCGTGCCACCCCCCGCCATAAATAATGACCGCTCCCTAACATGTGAGTTCATGTCACACCAACAATTAAGAAGAAAATAAATTATAAACAAACGACAAGATACCGTGTTTCGATAAGGGACCAAAAATACGTTCACACGGAACTGGATTAATTCAGTGGATTAATTACGAGACGAATGCAGCCTTGTCCCCAGCCGCTTTGATTTGCTGCGCCGTTTGGTTCGTGAGAAATGGAAATTTGGACGGGAAGCGCCTGGCAGAATTTGCATTCAAGATGGCGGATAAACCATGGACGGCCAGTCCATATAATATTTCTAGAGCTGAAATTGTGTAAATTAATATTATGGCTCTATAAACTCGCAAAATACAATACTGATATCTGTTTCTATCTTCTCAACTAGTGGGGCTATGAAATTGATTCACATACACTTAAATCGCCTGATTACAACGATTCCAAACATATATAAATGATCTAGGTTTCATTAATTTAAAAAAAATACAGAGCTAAAAAAAGCCTCATATATCGATTTTTTCCACGAGAGTGGTGGTGGCGAGACGAATGCAGCCGTGACGTTTCTCTGTAAACATCATGGAAAAATTCGATAGTTTTTTCGAAAGCCTTAACATTTCGGAATCATTTTTGCAGAATATAAAAAAGAAAACAACTTGATACAAACACCAGTCTACTTACATTCGTAATACCGTACCTGTTCTATACTCGTATACATTTATATTATTACGCCTTCCTTGCATTGAAAACACTCAAATTTCCCGAAAAACGCGCTAAAATGATCAATATTTTATACAAAAAAGTTGTTTTGAGAAACGTTGGAAATTTTGAAGTTCATAAATATTAATAAAAAAAAGATATGTTAGCAGAAGATGATAATATATTCCTTGCAGAAGCATCGCCAATAGCCGACCGTAGAAAATAGTAGAAAATTACCTTATGTGTACTGTAAGAACAAAATATCAATAACTATGCGTGACGTTTCTAAGGGGGTGTGGGTGGGGGGGGGGGTCTCCAGAGAAACGTCCATATGACGTTTCTCATGGACAAAATCGATATGTGAGGCTTCCCTAAACTTTAAACCCTCTGTTATGGCTTGACCTAAACTATATCCAATTATAAATAGTTGTGACTCAAAATGTAAACACTATAAATTTGTTTCTATCTTTTTTAACTAGTACAGCTATGTCAATGATTTGTATAGATTTAAAATCGCTACATTACAACGATCCCAGACATATATAAATCTGATTTCATCAAGCCAAAACAAATATAGATAAAATTTAATACCCTCTTTTATGGCGTGACCCAAATACATCCATTAACTCAAGATGTAAACACTTACTGTATCTGCTTCTATCTTTTCAAGTACATAAAATCTTTTTAAAACGTTATACCAGGAATTTACCTTCTGTCATGGCTCGACCAAAATTATGTCAATTAATATTTATATGCATGAAAAATATTTAACAATTATTGGATGAGGTTTTTGTCATATGCGGAATTATCAAGGTCGAGGTAAGCGTTATCAGAATTATCAAGGTCGAGGTAAGCATTATCAGCCGAGTGTGGCCCAAGAGTGTGGCCGAGTACCCTGCTGGCAGTGGTCTCTGAGCTGAGGAGAAACCACTGGCACTGCGAGCAAACGAACGATCGTTTCATGTAGCCGCCGTCCAGATTCACGGACGAAACATTAAATACCGGTAAAACAAATTTGACAAGCAAGGGGTTAGGTTAAAGTACGGAAGCGGATGCGGAACGGAACGGAACGGATGCAGAACGGAACGGATGGGGTTAAAATGCGGGACGAAACGGAACGGATATGGGGTTAAAATGCGGAACGTAAGGATATGGGGTTAAAATGCGGAACGGAACGAATATGAGGTTAAAACTTAATTTAAAACCCATATTCGTTCCGTTCCGCATTTTAACCCCATATCCTTACGTTTCGCATTTTAACCCCATATCCGTTCCGTTCCGTTCCGCATTTTAACCCCATCCGTTCCGTTCCGCATCCGCTTCCGCATTTTAACCTAACCCCTATGTAAAGCTATATATAGATTGTGTTAAACGTGGTTAAAAATATTTTAACTTTGTTGTTTCTGATGACATTTTCCGACTCTCCATTTTTTATTCTCGACTCTCGCCTTTTAATCTCGACTCTCGACTTTTACTCTGGACTCTCGACTTTTACTCTCGACTGTCGACCTATACTCTCGACTCTCGACCCTCGACTTTAGATACACTTTGCCACTGCTATTAAATGCAGGTCAGTTGGCCACTTGAAAACAATCGCTCTAAATATAATAACACGCTATACCTCATCCGTTCAGTTGTCCTCATTTTATTTGATCTCGAATTCGTACGGTTAGCTGTGCTGGAATATGTCCTGTTTCCTGCTCTCTGTGTACGGTTTCGAATTCATCCGGACCGGTCCCATATGAACAGGGCCTTATTTAGGCTGGGGAACTCAAAAGCGGACCTGCCAAGTGTCCCCGCGAATTTGGCCGTGTGGAAGTCACGCATTTAAATTGAACGATCCCGCAGACAAGCACGCATTTCCAAACATGGTTTCCAACTCATATTTTAGCTTAATTTATTCAACAGTGAGTATGTTCAAAATTCGGACATCTTCGATTTTGTCTGAGATTTGTAAGGGAGCCTTGGTCAAATTTGATATGTTACTTATTACCGGACAATCATGTTTTGCGATCAAATATGGCGGCAGTAATGTTCCAAGCTGTGAGGTACTGAGGTGCCTATCTGCGCATGCCGAGTAGTTTGCAAAATTAGGGGAAACTAGCTCAAATCACATCCAAACTATCACAGAAACTTTAAGTACAACCAAATGACCCAATACACCTTATAATGTAGCAGAGGCCAGGGGTAAGTGAATTTCTCAATTATATTGAAGACAATATTCAATATTCTAGC